ACCCACACCTTTGAAACTTTGCAGGCGTTCACAGCATCCATGTGGCTAGGACTTGACTTTTAAAAATCCACGCAAACTGCTTTCCCCGATTTTTCCAAAACGCTTTGTTTCGTCCACACAGAGTTCTAGCATTTCAATGCAATTGAATGTAGTGTTCAAGACATAAATTTCAAGACTTCCATTCACTTGCTGAGCTCACTTAACCCACAATGACTTGACAATTTAAAAGTTTGTTCATCGAACACGGTACCCAGTTAGTTAGGAAATAATTGACTTTTACCCTTTAAGTTTCTAAAACAAGGGTTTAAATACCCCTTAAGACAGAAAACCAAAGGGTGAAAGAACCTCAAGTTGGCCTGAAAAGGGGAGCCCTAACACGGGTCGCCAACACAAGGAGAACGACCCACACTTCTGATGCAAGTTCACGTCAACGTCCATTGTTACTTTGTTAGAGATTAGGTAAACAAAACAGTGACTAGTCACCTCCCATACAATTTGTGCATGAGTTGTGGGCGGGCTTATATATAAATAGCTTTTCTATATGACGGATCACACGCATCCCTCACCAGCAGTTGAAAATTTATTGTTATGCCTACCTACTGCTTAACTTGGGTAAACATTCTTTGGAGGGATTAACAATTTAAACATACATAATGATAGGTGAATGAATTATGATGGCCGGTCCATAGCATGAGGGGCCAATTCAAAAGTTATGACAAAGCGCTGGACAATGAGTGACCACGCCTGGCCGCCTGAGGTGGCAGGTAAATTTGACAGTGGGTTGTTAAATAAGGTGGCCGCAGCCGCATTGGACAGGTGACCATTTTACACATTTAAATTATATGGAGGGAAATGGAAAGTGGCCGTTTGTACGGGTGGCTGTATTTTAATACAGGTGGTCGTCATGGCAGGTTCGACTGTATAATAAAAATCGAAATTATTTTTTATAAACAACTAAGTAATCTTACACGATTCCAACACTATCTTCTCATGCAAGCAAAAGTTTTCACAAACAGCTGAATGCTGTTCAACACAAATGCATCATATCGTATGAGTATGAATATTCAGTTACTAACACCTTCTAGCTCACAAGCACACCTTCGTTTTTGTCTGTAAACCCACTACAAACAATAATAGTACTACCAGACACAACAGGAAATCTCCAAGACCAACTCAAAAAAAAGAAATTCAAAACCAGGACTGTAGGCTGGGGGGAAATAATGTTCCAAAAAGGAGAATATTCAGAAACACCTGATTGAAGTTAAGATCAGAACTGAATCTTTTTGCACTATACCCGGCTATTGAAGCACAACAGCCACACAATATTATATCATACCATGGACGTCAATAAATATTTCTTTCAACTCTGTGCTTCTTTGACGAGACCTAGCAGTCAGAGACGACAAGTGTGCCTGTACTGATAGGGCATGGCCCAAGCCTGTCGCATCCCAACAGTTGTGCCTGGAAACCTCTGGGGGACTATCTTGCATGAAAAAACTCTGCTGAGACAAGAAGCCTCCAAGCTTTCTCATTGCATCTCTCAAGATTAAAACACTATCTTGAGTTGGTACGCCCTGGTGGGAAACAGAATACAGTTAGTTAGTAAGAAAAGGATTTTAAAGTCTTACAATTCAACACATGATATGGTGGATGTACCTCTACTAAGAACTGAAACCTGAACTCCTGAAGCTCTGCTAAACAGAAGTCTGAAGTAAATAAACATCTCAAGTCCCTTTAGATCTATTGTGTCTAAAATGACCGTCTTGAAACCTTTTTTTAAAATTAAAAATGCTCTCACAATTTTGCCACTACAATTATTATAAAATAGATACTTTTACGAGTACTTACTAGAATCTATACAGTTTTAGAGAAGCCCCCCCCCCTGCTGACGCAACAACATATATTCATAAATTTAAAATAGTTTTAAATTTTAAAACAAAAACTACACACACACGATGCGTAAATTAGGTAGATCTAGATCTAGATCTAGTAGAGTTAAGTACACTATTCTAGATCTAGTAGGCCTACTTAATTCTAAAGACTTCTAGCCAAGACAAAAAAATTTGAGCCAAAGAGTGTTCCATACTTGAGGAATATCCATGCCCATTCCGCACTGAGGGGATCCAACATCAATCCAGGAAAGTGAAATTGTTTTATTTTTGTACGCTTGTTGCAAAGCTGGTGACATGAATGAATCAATAAACACATCAGAATCAATGACCATCTTGTTTGAGAACCATCTAAATGATTTCTTGTTCCTTGGTGCCTTTGATAAGATAAAAACAGCATTTTCAACCACCCCACAATGGAACACATCCTCTGCAAATGATTGGGAAGATTTCCTTCTTGTTCTTGAAGTTGATGACACTGTCACTTTAGTACTGACCAAGTCTAAGGAGTCCCAAGAGAAATCATGCAAGATCTCAGTAAGAGCGACAGACAAAAGTTCAGCAGGTTTTGACAAACTTCTCCTTTTTGAAAAATCCTTGATTACATCATCAAAGGCACCTTGTAATTTTGTCACGAAATCTTCCACATGTTTATATTTACGACTTTGAAAATCAGGGTTTGAAACGCTTGCCGTTTTTCGAGGCAGGGTGGCAGTTGTATTGAATAACTTGTAACCCCAGCTGACATGAGCTGAATGCAGATTTGTCTTTGAAAATTTCCCCTCATCTTGTAATCTGTCATCTCTCTGTTTAGAGATACTTGTTTCAAAAAAAGAAATAATTCTTAAAGTGGTGGCCACAATTTCATAGAGGTGCCGACATCCTTGTTGACAGTTTGCAAGGCTCGAGTCGATTAGAAAGACCAGTTTACATTTTCCTAGCTGTTCATCCATTCCTGAGTTTTCACAAGCATGTATTAATTAAGACGAAAAAAAACAACTAGATTAAGGCAGCCTTCATTTTCTTTTCTTGCACTAACACTACATGAGCATTAGATTTCCTAACCTACTGTAGACAACAATTCATAATGTTATTATTTTGAGATCTCCTCTGCTAGTCTTCGCTGTGCCGCTGCCATTTTGAACCTCTACTGAATTCTCCGATGTGATTGGCCAAAATTACTGAAAACAGGAAATAGGAATGTGAGACTCCAGCTCCTTGTAACAGTGGTCCCCGGAATAATGGTCCTTGTACATGTTTCTCGTTGACAAATGCGCGTGTTTGCTCTTTATTGGCGTCCACAGTGAAGACGTTCCTTTTTTGACACTCGAAAACTAGCTCTGGCTACTAAATGGATATCGAATCCTACGAAAGCAACAAAAAACAAAACTATATTTCTCTCTCTTCCTCGTTCGCCCCCCCCCCCCTCTCTCTCTCTCTCTCTCTCTCTCTCTCTCTCTCTCTCTCTCTCTCTCTCTCTCTCTCTCTCTCTCTCTCTCTCTCTCTCTCACACACACACACACACACACACACACACACACACACACACAACTAACACATAATAAGCGCATTGCGTTAACAAAAAAGGAACACACACACACATAGTTTATATATATATATGTAATAAACACACAAGAAATTAAATATGACACTAGGGCTGTTGTAAACATGAATGCTAGTGAAACTTTCGACCTCAGCATCTTCACAATAAAGGTCAGTTATTGTTGTAATGAAGTCTAATATGAGTGGATTACTTTGAATGCCGAGAGCATAGTCCACTGACCATAGTGTTGCCACCACTGATAAGCTATCGTATCAGCTATGATATACAGTCAAACCTCGTTATACTGCCACCTTTGAGATGTAAATGAAGTTGGCAGAATAGTAGGGTTGACGGTTTATCAGGTAGCTCTGTTATAACCCTAATTGCCAAATGCCAAGGGACACGAATCTGCTGTGTGATCTGTGTTTGAAAAGTGGGGGGAGGGGGGGGTGTTGGTGATATACTTACATGTACATGTATGTACTTGCATATGTATTCAGAGCCAAGAGTCTTCTTTCTCTCTATCTTTGTCTTTCTCGTGGGAGAAAGATTATCAAATAGCCAAGCAGTGCTGTGCACCGTGTCCAGTGTGTACCTCCGGTGATCATGAGTTCGCTGGCGGTATGGCGGGGTAAACTCACATTAGTTAAATAAAGATCATTGATGGAACAAACTGCCAAGTCTTCCACGAATAGGACAACTCTCAGAACCATTCCAGGTGCAGACAGGAGTGCGACAAGGATTCTTGCTCTCACTTTTTCTCTTCATACTGTTGACTAGATCATGAAAGAAGCCACCAGAGGCGAGCGCAATGGAATACGTCATCCCTTGGCAGCAGCTGGACGACTTGGACTTCGCTGATGACCTTTCACTGCTCTCTCGCAGACATGCTCAGATACAAAAAAAAGACCAAGGAATTCAACAGCCTATCAAGGAGTGATGGCCTACGTACATTGGCGGTGGGTGGATCAAAATTTGGGTGGGGCTTAGGTTGCTTTCACTTCTTTACCACCAAATAGCGAACAATGAGAACTAAAAAATTGGTGATTTTTCCATACTCACGGCGAGCCAGCTACAGCCTTTTGAGAACCATTCAAACGAGAAGAGTCACCTTTGTCTTCCTTCTCTTTGTTGAACGTTAGATTCTTCTGGATGCTGGGGACGAAACCGTTTCACCTCCAAACTTCTCTAATTAATTTTCATCTAATGAAAAAGTTGCCTCAAAAGTTGTTTGGGGTAATTAATAACTGTTAAATCTCAGCGGCACACACAAACACACA